GTCGCCATAGCGACAGTGGGCAGAGGAGCCCAGATGCAACAAGGACTGGACCCTTCCCAGGCAGGGAGAGCCCGCACCATGCCTTCCTCCCCCAGCAAAGCCTCGGCAGGGGATGCTCTCATGGGGGCAAGGGCGGTATTCTCAGGTAGGTGACGACACCAGAGTCTTGGAGCCCCTCGTGTGGTGGGGATGCTGCTTCAGCCTATGGGCACAGGGGAAGAGCAGTGTTATGTACCACGTATGGATAACTGCCACGTATAGACAACTGCATATATGCATTTCTGGTGTTTGTTCAGGGAACCCTTGTTTAACATGATAGATCAGTGATTAAAATGGAATCAAATGGATAAAAAAGGTAAGTAGTGGCAAAAGATGTATGTTAAATGGTACCACAGTTTTTGTTTCATTGGACAGTTCGATGCCTAGATAGAAAGAACCCTACTTTCGTTGCTTACATTTTTCATGTCAAGTAAGAAGTTTGAAGAAAAAGCCCTGGCATTATTCAAGGAGAGAACAAGGTTCTAGTCTGAGGGGCTGAATTAAAACCTCCTGCTGAGTGCCAGCAAGGATGTCTCAGTGTTTCTAGTTAACAGCAATTACAGAAATGTTTTCCTACAATGGCTCCGTTTGAATTTCAAATGCACCGGTATAAAAGACCAGACTGAAGAATAAAACTGATGGACTAAAAAAGATGTACCTTTATGAAGTGAATCTGAATGTGTCTTGGAGCCTGCTTTTAAATTACAGTGATGATCTGTGTATAGATTCACATTAATAATGATTTTTTTTTAATAGTAGAAATTTAGAGACTGATACATTTTGGTGCACTTGTATCTTGTAGTAATCAAACGACAATTGTACTTTGATATTCTCATTCTTCCTTAAATGCCAAGAGACTAGAAACAGTATCAGGATGCTATAAATTGTGTTACAATACAGTGTATGTATTTCGGTAGCACTGAACATGTGAAGATGTGCTCTTCAAGTCATACACAGCAGTAGTTCCTGCTATTGGGGTGCAAGTCACAGGAACATAAAAACTGCAGTTTGGGGTCAGATTAAGAACTCATATCACCTAGAATTGCTCTTAAATGTCACTCGCACTTTCTGCCTTGCAACTTCTTTGCAGCAAAAGGTGACTCAATTTAGCTATGAACTGCATGAAAAAGAATTTCCTTTGATGTTTGAAATCCCTTCCTAGCAATTTAATTCTAGGTTTTGGCTTATGAAATGCTGCAATTGGTCCTTATTCACCTTCTTCAGAAAGGTCGTTATTTAACAGCTCTCTACTACAGCTTCTTTGGTCACTTCTCGGAGAGAGAGATCATAAAATTTATTTAGACTTCCTGAAAAAGTGGAGTCAAATACATTGTCTTTAACTCTAGATTACTGTTAGCTTTCAACTGTTAAAATTAACAGAATGGCCCAGGTACATCCACATCAACACTTTCAGTACCTTTTCTCATCTTAACAGATAATTTCATGAGATTGGCAAGAATGGGGAAGCAGAACATCACACAATACTCAACGTATAGGTGCAGCACCAACATGTTCAGTGGCATAATATCTGGAGGTCATGTTGAGTTGCCTGTTCACTACGAGCCAACACGGTACCATCCCCACTCCTTGTCAGAAAAAGGAGCACATAGGGGTAAAGCTGCATGGTCTAAGTTGTATAAACAGCGCTCAGGGACAAAGCCAGCCTGTCAGTTTACCTAGTCAATTCTTCTGCAGCATTGTTAACACCATTAAAAAAAGAGCAAATCTCAGAAAAAATGTCAAGTTGGATAAACCTAGTTCAATCCAACTACTGTGCTACATGCTGTCCTAAGAGGTTTTTCTACCAAAGAGCTTTTCTACCCTGTTTTTTATCTAATATCATATTAGTCTCTTAGGAGCATAGGTTTTCTGGGGAAAGCACTTTTCCTGAGAAACTAATCTTAGAAAGTGCTTTGGACTCTTCTTGCTGACTGTCCTTAATCCAATAACGTTGCAACAGTATTGTGTGACACAGGCGTTGCTCCTGTGGAGGACTTCTGCCAGGCAATTCTGAGACAAGAGGAATAGTCAAGGTTATTTTTAAAGCACCAGAAGTAACTTGATCACAGCAACATAATCGCTAGTCGAGAATGCACAGCTTGCTATTAGTGACACTGATACCTTGTAAAGGGAAAAATAAATTTCACCTGATTATTTATAGTTCTGTTGCATGTAATGAAGCAAGTGTGTTATTGGAGATTTACAAGTTAGCAGATTGGTTCACAATTAGGGCCTTATTCATATGTGTTCTAAGACTCAAGATAAAGAGCCAAGCATTTATGTTTTGAGTTTCTAACATTCCAGATAGGCCTATGATTGCTGTTCCATTTCCAGCGGTTTAAAGGTTAGAAGACGATTTAAAAAAAAAAAATCCCTTAAATAATTCCTTAAAAATAAAATAGGATTTCTTTATATAATAGTATCTGTAAGCTTCTCAGTTCTGATTTCAACAAAATACATGACTCTTGTCATGATCCAATTCTTTAAAAAAATAGTACACTCACATACCTCCACAGCTGTGTCCTAGAATTTCTACTGATCTCCTGACCCAACCGGCAACCTTAAGGTCAAAAGGGGCTTGACCTTCTTATACAGCCTCAGAAACTATTTTCTCAAGGAAGCAAAGATGATAAACTGAATTATAATCCTGACCGAGAAGGACTTCTTTACTGTATGATCTCAGTCATTCTCACAAAGGATCCTGATTAACTGCTTGAATTACTGTTAGCAGGTGACAGAAGGGTAGAGCTTGCTTTTATTTCTTCTGCTCTCTTCCTGCCTCAGGCTCTTAATCAAATTTAGAAGAAAAAGCTAAGTAAATAAAAGCAGAGTTAAATACTACTTGAAGTAAGGTGCAGGTGATACATGTCACCTTTTGAAGATGTCTAACTGGGGTATTAAAATGACACTTCTAGTGACTAAGGGACCCATTATCTCTATCTTCGTAGCATATCTGTAGAGAAGGAAAGTGCTAAAGAAGCAGCATGACTACACAAGAGTCTGAACTTCCATACTCTACACAAGTGCCACGACTGATGGGCTATCTGTGGTTTCAGAGCCTCCAGAAGGCTTAGACTGAAAGACTTCGACCACCCTTCTGCACCAGCCTTCACCTGCCGATTGCTGCGGCCCCTGGTTTGCATGCAGTCCCCCAGGGACCCAAAGGCATTTACACCTGTGTGCGTGTCAGGGTGGGAGTACTGCTTCGAGTGCCATTCTCCTCATGACAATGCCAGCTCAGCACTTCTGACCTTCAGCCACTTGTTCCCATCTCCCATTGTTAGTTTTGGCACAACTCTTTCTCCCCAAGCCCCCCTCCCCCCCCGAGGCCACATGGAAGATGAGATCAGTGAACTGATCTGTGTTAAAAATAACCAGGAAAAAAACCAAAGCATTTTACCATGCAATTGAGAAGCAGTTGTTTCAGCGCCATGGGCAGCCCCAGGTCAGCAGGCAGAGGGGCTGAAGCTGGCAGTGCTGCAGAGAAACAGCACACGGCATCCCACCAAGCATTGGTGGCTCTTGTTAGATAGGGATCTCAGGGTAGCTCTCAGAGGGTGGATTTCTGTACCAAGTGGGTGAACGTCATGGTTGCCATTTGCATGGGTATACCCAAGAGGATGAGAGATCTGAGATTTTTTTTTCTCTAAAAATAAGCAGAAAAAGAGGCAGAAAAACAGCAGTGAGATGCAGGAACTGTTGATGCCTATGCTGTCCCTGACAAGTGATTTCCTCTGCTTACTAACTGCCATTCGGTGTTTTTCCATAGGACATATATTTAATGGATGAAAGACGGAAAGCAGTTTATGGTGCTGAAACACTGCCTCCATCTTTTGAAGAAAATAGTAGAAGTAAAATAAACCAGAGAGACATATTTGGAGTAATGTTTGAAATTATAGTCTGTAACTAGACTTAATAGACTTAAGATAGAGCTTAAGCTGTTATTTCTCCATTTCTCATTCACAAATTAATACTTAGCAACAGTCTGGCTTGACTTACCAGTTTTAAAACAGAATAGAAAACCTTATTTTCACTGATTGAGAGTCCCTGGCCCTGGGGATCCGTTTTCAGGGCTGCTCGCTCCCCCTACAAATCATGGAGTACCTTCAGTTTTTTTAAATTAATAGGTTTTGTGGTAAACACACATCTTGGGCCTGCTTATGCTTTTCATTAAGCCATCATGAAATAGCTATTCCTAGATAACACCAGCTGTGGCCATTTTATACTGGAAAGCAATTGGGATGTTCCAGCTAAACTGGAACCAGCAGCTCCAGAAAAAGAATGTCAGCACATGGAATTAATTTGAAAAGAGTCAATCAGAGCAATACCAAGCACAACTCATGGTATTTCCTATATGTTTATATGGTTTAGGTCAGGTTAAAGATGTTTGTCACAGGGTGACAAGACCAATTTCGGCCTTGATTCTCTGAAACCTTACAGAAAATATGCTTAACTGTATCGACCGTGACTAGTAGTCTTAACCACCAGTTTCAGCTGGTCAAATTATTGTCATCTGGAAAGTGGTTTGGCCAGTAGGCTGAACTATTTCTGTTGTTGTTGAGGGAGTGGGAGGACACTAGCTCCCTAAAGGGTGTTGTAATTTCAAGCAATGGTTCCTTATTTAGCAAGGATTTGGTTCTCTGTGCTTTTAAATACACCCTACTACCATATGTGTTTGCTGGGGAGTAAAACTGCTAGGATTTATATGATTATTTATTTACATTAATATAAATAAAATTAAGTACTGTAGCTTATAATCAATATTTCAGCAGTAAGTAAAACAAAAGGAAAACCAGTCTCAGTGCTATTTGAATAATTGTCATTCTTACCATCCTCTCTTCCCCCATTCATCATTCTGGAAATATATCCGCAGCTTTCTCCCAAACCTTGATCAAATAAATGTGTCTCTCACTGTGCCTAGAGAATCAGTGCATCTGGACCAAGCTAGGGAGCATACTGCAGAGATTTTAAGTCTCCACAGAGTGTTCACTGCCAGCAGCGCCTCTCTTTATCTGACCAAGAATAGCCTGCTCGAACGCCTTTGCTAAGCCAAAATTGTTGAGAAGCAGTCCCTCGGGAATCAAGCCAGGGTTTTTCCCAGTGACAGATATATTCCATCTTCATCCTTATTAACAGAACATTTATAATTGACTTTCTTTGTTTACCCTTTCCCTTATTCTACAAAGAAGAACAAAAGTCTTAACTTTGCTCTCTGTATGACAAACAAGAAGGCATTCCTTACAGAGCATCAATAGCACGGTGAGAAGCACTGAGAGACAGCTTGACTTTCTACTAAATTACCATTCAATTTCTTCCAATTATTCAAACACATTGTTTCTTCTGAAGCCCAGACAGAAAAATAACACACATAATTAGTGAAGACTCTTCTCCGGAAAGGGGAATGTACAGTTACATGAGAGACCAGACTCTGGAGTTGAAAAATAACAAACCTGATGGAAAAATCAGGACATAGTTCCAAGCTGTATTTTATCTGGCAGCAAAGTTGATTTAAGAGGTTCCTACTTTTTCTTTTTGCACCTATGACACAGCCCACTGCCTCTGCACTTGTGCTGATGCGGCTGTTTTGGGGCTGTGCTGCAAACTGGATTAGTGAAACAATCTCAGGAAAACTTCTCCACCACCTTTAATTAGCAGTGAAAAATGTTGTAAATTAGCAGGACCCCATCATGCAGAGGCCGTGGAACCACACAATGCATCAGCTATTAACTCAGAGAAGCAGGCTGAGTTAGTACCTGCTCCTCAGAGTTCGGCTGCTGATTACAGGATGCTGGAAATACAGATACGACTGTTAAAGGAAGCACTGGATGGACTACCCGTGCTTAAAATTTAGCCCCATGCTGAATAGGACCGAATCTGGTTTTAAAAGCTGACTTTCCCTGTTAATGAAATCTAGTTCAAACAAAAACCATCAGGCTTTACTGAGAGGGTAACATAACTTTGAACTGAGCTGGAGTGATCTTTGCTTCAACTGTCTCTGCACATAGTATTCTATTCTCAGTTAATATGGAACCTGAAAAGACGTATGGCTTGGAAATTATTCTTGAAAGTTCAGTTGCATTAACATATAATTATAGAAACTATAATATATAGAATAACTCCCCAAGTGTTTCACAAAAAGAATTCCTTTTTCTTCCTCTTTTGCTTCATCCATTTTCAACAGCTTCTCCGTGTGAAAACTCACCCTCCTGTTTTGCACCTTTGTTTTTATTTTCTGATAATTATGATAGTTTGGAGGATAATTTTTTTTTGTCATTGTCAGCCTGGATCAATACAGTTCTACTAGCAAAAGCAATAGCATAAATATCAGTAGGGATTTGGTTTAAATCTGTACTAGCAATGAAGTCATCTGGCATCATCAGCTGCTGCTCCAATAGGAGCCTTTGTCAGCACCCTGCTGATGGTTTGTCCTTTTAACTAAAAACATGGCTTGTGGCTTTTCCGGAGGCCTGAACCCTCACTATGCCTTATAATCTCTCTGTGTGACAAAGCTTCAGGGCTGAGCGTGGTGCAAAAGGAACTCTGGTTGATGCCCAAAGACCTGTCTTCCACTATAATAATGAAGTGTTTCTAGAGCTTTAAATTTTTTTTTCACGAACATAGACAACAGATATTCCCTCCTCAGCTGGAAACCTATGCGGGGTTTGTCTGGCGAAGAGATAGTCAATAGCTGAGTTGTTATAAAGTCCGAGTTACAGAGGTGATGGCGGAAATGGTAACAAGACTGTCCCTCTCAGGCAATCGTGATCTTAAGAACTTAGTCACACTGAATTTGGGGTATCTTTTTTGAAGCTGTTATTCAAGTGCTTTGTAATAACCATTAAGGCAGAATCTGCCTTTGTATGCTGTGAAGCTCTAACAACCCTCAGTTTCATCAGTAAAAATATCAATACTAATCTCAGGCTGTAAATGGATGCTACAGGGGCTTGGGTGATTTATGAGTAACACTCTTTTGCCCTCTCTGGAGAGGTGAGAGACACAGCTTGCAATCGCAAGCCCTCAGGTGAAATTTCTAGCTATCTGTGATGCTAAACCAGTTTTCTAAAGATTTGATTTACTTATGTTTAGTCCATACAGACCATAACAGGAGTTTATGAAGTTCACAGTGCTCCTCACAAAGAGCACCGTTGCCTCCGTCTTAGGGACTGTGAAACAGCAGCATGGAGGCAACTGGCGAATCTTGGCATGAGTGAAACTCCGAGGTCAGCTCTGTGTCTTAGTCTCCACCCTCCCATATCTTGAGTTTCAACCAAGGAAGACTCAGGTGCCCAGGCTGGTTGGGAGCTGGGATGCTTCCCAGACAGATGTCCCACCTGAAGGCTCAGCAGACCAGCAAGGTGGGGGTACAGCTTCGCTTCGCCGTTCTTATACTGTGCCTTCTGGACTTGCACTTGGTCAGCTGGAACAGCATCTCATTCTGTAAATTCTTTCTTAATTCCGCACTAAAGTTCCTTCTAGATACATCTCTGAATGACCTGAAAAGTCTCTTCAGATTACTGGGCTTTGTTTAAACTGACTTTGTATTCAATGATATTTTAACTTGACATTGAAATCAATTCTAATGAAAGCCACTCTAATTCTGTATTTGAATACCTATATTGACTTAATTTAGTAATCCAAAGCCACTTTAAATTCATATCTTCTGCTAATACGTATGGATTTCCTGAACATGTTTGTATAAAAATCTGAAAGCACCATTTTAACAGGTAGGCACTCAATCAAAAATAACAAAAAGTTGCTTTTTACCAGAAAAAGAAGGCTAATTTTGTTTTGTGTCATGGCACTTTTTCAATAGCCAGATATTTAGAGCAGGAAAAAGGAATGTTTCAGTGAAAAGACCTATACATGATCCCCCGTTCCAGGAGACCCACTCTAACAAAAGGTATAACAAGTACAATGTTCTTGCAAAGTGGAAAAGCTATATAAAATTGTTGCATTATAAGTAAGATAAAAGAAAATGAAGCATACTGAAACCGGTCAGTAACAAATGTAAGCAATGTGTTTCTCTTTCTTTTCTGTCTATAAGGCCCAGATGGTATACGTGATTACAGAACAAGGAAGCCTGAACACACCCAGTACATAGGAGCGACAGCTCCAGCAATAGAGGGTACCAGTGACGCCAACTACTTGTGGCGCCCGGCCCCCTGTCCTCCAGGCGTATCACCTCGCAGACCTTCCTACGCTGGCGACATTGGGTGGGGTGTGAGGGAGCTCAGCCATTTCACCAGGAGACACCTCCAGGGTGGAGCACACATTAAGGTGAGGAAGACTTTGTACATGAAATTACCTGAGCTGCAGAAGAAAGTTGTGCTCTGCTTTGCAGTTTTATTCTGAATTATCATTAGGGCCGAGACTAATTGTGGACTAAGGAAGGAACAACAGAGAATACAGCTGTTAGATTGAAAACTGAGCTAAGAAAACATCAGCCCAGGCCTTCAAGACCTTCAAGAAATATTTTTGTAACAGTTTGCCCCAAGTCAGGCTCCCAGCTGGACAAAGATGCCTGAAAAATAACCTGATTAAAACATCCCACTTAACGTAATATAGAAGTTGCTTTTAAGGGCTTAGTAGTCATGGGCTGGATTTTTCCACACGACTAGAGCAGACAGAGATGGAAGGAGCTGTCTGAAGGAGCGAGGTCTAACGAGACATGAGCCATCAAGTGATCCTGCCAGGCCAATTCCCAAACACTGCCAAGAGACCCAAAGCATCAGATTTGCACCCTCTCTGTGACCAGAATCCCACAGGGTTTGTGTGCTTGCCAATGCTTAAAGACCCCCAGTAACTCTGTGAACCTGCCCCTCACCCAGCCTCATGCAGGGCGTGGGGTGCAGAAGCAGATAACAAGCTTCAGACACCTGAATTTGTTCCTCTTTCCACTTGTTCTAGGTCCTCATTTTGAACCTCTGACTTACACAGCTAGTTACAGCTGAATTCATATTTGCATTAGGTTATAATAAAAAGTCCCACAGCTTGATTCCTGAAATAATTTATATTTATATATGTAGATATTACACACACCACATTTCTCTTGTACATACACATGCAAATCCACACGTGATGATACAGGTCTATTTAACATTGCTATGTTTATTGCATAGTGGTTTTAGAAGCCCAAAATAGACTAGGAGTTTGATTTTTTTTTTAGGACTGTATGAAAAAACACTGCAATGTTTTTCCTGAAACAAGGTTTTTCAATAGTTAAGGTGCTCTTACATTGTGCTGCAGTGTGTCTACATGGAACACTGTGTATCCTTCCAAGTATACCCTTCTTAAAACACCAAAAATAGAGAAAGTATTTAAGTTATTCATGACTTTTGTCTGTTATACACCATGTTGAAAATAGATGTAACTCATTAAGTGGACACAGTGAAGGGAAGGGAAATCGGTCCCTCCTGGGAGCAAATGAGCCTGCTTGGCAGGGAGGAAGCTTCCCAAGGACAGAGCGAGGCAGCTAGAAAGGGCAAGTAGAAATGAGAGATCTTGGGAACTGGAAAGCTGCAGAATAATTGGGATTAGAAAGCTGCTGGGAATGGTAGATGCACAGGCTCCTGAAGTGAAGGAAAGAAGAATAATTTTGGGGAGGCAAAGGACTGCATTTGCTGTAATCCAGGAAGCTGGTGAGAGGTTATTGGAGTGGGAGTGAACCTGGGAGAGAGGACCCACACCACACAGACCAAGCGAGAAGGGTTAGATGTGCACACAAACCTTTCAGAGTCTGGTTTCAGGCAGTTTTCTGCAGTTATAAAGTTTGCCTTGACTTAATATCTGCTCGTGTGAAACCAGCTTCTGACCTTCAGTGGCCTTTTGTGCTTCTTGAGGACCTTTGAAGAAAAGTTGTGGGGCTTCCTTGAATCTGCAGCTGACTC